AAAGGAGTTGAAAATCAAAATGAGTTATATAATGGGGTTAGAAACCCCAATTTTCCTATCCTACGTATGCTTTCCTGTCCTGCTCTTCAAGTCTAAAAGCACTTTGGGAAATAAGCACCTTTCCAATGCATAATACAGCTCTAACTAATGCGATAGTTGATTCTCCTCGCACTTGACTTAATTTGCCTTTGAAACGGAGTGGAATGATCATTGAGAATTAATTATTGTTTATTGCTATTTGAAGTAGACATCAAATTTAAATTAATAGAGTTGAATGCATCTTCAAATTAAGAAATGGGACAAAAGTATACAATAATAGTTTTTGTTCTCCAGCCATGGTAAGATTGAGATTGGACCATAAGTTTTGAGAAGGTAATACGTATTTTTATTTATTGAACTAGGTTTGGATTGACAATAACGACAATGACGAGTTAAAATTATATTCTTTGTTTGTAATGACCACATAGGATATGTCTCACAAATATCCACTAATTTTATATTTTTTATAAAAATGAACAATAGGGTGATAACCAGTGATCAACATCCATCCTTTTGCTGACCTCCAGCAAGTGGTATGAGAAAACTGTAATTAATTATTTCAATAAAGAAGAAGAGAAGAGAAGGGAAGAGAAGAGCCTTTGGAATCTTTCAAGTTTGAATAAGTGATAGAGTGGGCCAATTTATTTATTCAATTTCAATCAAAATCAAAGCAAATCAAAATATATTTGTCCTTAATGGAAAGAGTTTTGATATTTCTTCAATTGTTGCTGACTTATGGAGTAGTAATTTGGCTTGTACTATATGCTTTCAAATATATGTTTAAATAATAATATTATTATTTAATGCATCAAGTGTGTATGCACATGTTATGTTTGGGCCTACTCTATGCCATATCCCTAGTTGGAGATAATGTAAAATATTGTGTATGTCTATGACTCTTCCATATGGAATGGGAATAAAATTTTTGGGAAAAGTTGGGAAAAAAAATCAAATTTAAATTAAATTAATGTGGACATGCTCCAAAATAAGTTGGTAAAAGTTTCTCTAAGATGGCACGGTGACAAGCACTTGGACTTTGGAATACCACCCAACAAAAAAAGTAACGAGCAGATAAATTTTAAAGGCAATTGGTAAAGAGATGAGTGCTTATAGATTAATATTTAAATATTATTCTTATAAAATCCTCATTTAAACTTTGAGTACATAACAAATTGATTAAATATAATGACAAATTGTAATATAGACAACTAAAAAAATTAATAAGGATTTTTCTTTTAAAAGAAATATCACTAATGTCACATGTTTTTTAAATTTTGAAATATAACAAAAATATATTTTCATCTACTATATAAGACACTCATATCTGTAATATATTAGATTTATATCACATACATATTGCACAGACATTAATATCAGATACATATTGCAAGTATATCAAATACTCATATAAGTAGTATATAAGATGTATGTCATATATTTGTATCAGTAGTCAGATATATTATAGATGTATATTATTTCGGTAAAGTTGTCATTTTATAAAATTGGACATTCGTTTAAAAAAAAAAAGTGATATATTTGAAACAACTAAATTTGATTGCTATTTCTAAATACTGTCTCTTTATTTTTAAAATATTATTACTTTCAAACTTATTTCAAAAATAATACTTTCAAAAATTACTCGGATACTAATTAGTTGTTCCTTCCGGTCAATAGGAGGTATCTTCGATCATTATTTTTTTTATTTCAAATCTTCTAGGTCCCACCTAGCAATCTTCCAAGATTTTTCTTTTTTCAGAAAAACTAACTTAAATTTTTCTTTAAAGAAAAAGAAATGTAACTCGTTAAAAAAAAATCTAACAAAATCTTAAAACAAACCTAACACACATTAAAAAAGTAAACAATATTTTAAAGTTAGAACATAGAATATCATCTATTGCAAATTTATATTATAAACTTTATTCACTCTAATGAATTTAAATCTAACCCTAAAGTATTTAGAAATAATAAAAATATACAATATTATAATACTTGGTCGGCTTCGTTGGGAAGAAACAATAGAATCTTTGCAAAGGTCTCCAACACTTGCAACCCACCTTTTAGGATGATATTAATATTTGAAAAATATTTGGCTCCATAACGGTAAGGGACAAAATATTGTCCTAGCTACCATTAAATGTTTGACAACTCATTATTTTTTTGTAAAAACAAATCTATGTCTTTTGCATTTCTCGCTTGTCAAATATTTAATAGTGCTGAGGACAATGTCGCAGCAAAGAGCCCGTATTTCTTAATTTAGTCAAAAACTTCTTACTATTAGGGAGCCAAGTATTTTGCTTATTATTTTAGCTTCCTCTCATTCAAATTCAATTTTTTTTAATTATGATATCTCCTCCGTTACACTTAATTAGAGTGCTTTTGTTTAGTTTTTCTCCTTTTAACTTTCTTAATGAAATGGTTTTGATATCTCTTAAATAATAATAATAAAAAAAACTAATACTTGTTTAAATTTCTTTTTTTATTATTGATATCAAATATAGATCAATGATAGAAACATTTTTGAATTATTAGTAAATTACTTTCAAATATTAATGGCATAAGATAGAAAACTATAATTATGATAAAAACAAAAACAAAATACTCTACTAAACATTTTTAAGTTTCACTCTCTTTTGTTATAACAATACAGATCATTTAGTATACTTCATATGGAAAAGAACAAACATCAAGACTATATAAATATATATTCCATACAAATATCGAGAATATAATATATATATATATATAAAAGATTCATCTGTGAGATGTTATTAGAGCGGGAGATCTTGTGTTTGAACGCCTGCATTATTGTTTCTTCCTCTTTTATAGTATTTCCACTTGTTCGGCCTTTGTGCAATGATCAAAGCCCACAAGTGAGGTGAGTGTTAGATATCCATAAGTAAATTAAATTTACCCAACCTATCAACTCAAGCTTTTGGGTTAAGGAGTGATTTATTCATCCTTAACATGGTACCAGAGTTTTATACTTGGGGAAATAAACTTCAATCCAGATTTTTTTTCTTCTTAGCAAACATGGCCAAATCAGAACAAAATTAACAATTCAATCCTTTCATCAGTGTTGAAGCTTGATTTCTATCAAATTGAGCACCACCAATTATCTACTTTGGAAATTGCAAGTGTTACCTCTTGTGAGAAGTCAAGGAGTTTGAGATCATGTCAAGGGAGACTGTCCACCTGAGAAATGCGATCCAGAGAAGAAAGAATCCAATGAAGCTTGTGAAAAACAGTGGACTTGGCTCAACAATCATGGGTTGCTGACCTCTTGGTTGCTTGGCATCATATCTGAGGAAGTCTTAGCCATGATAGAAGGTTTGGAAACTTCACACCAAGTATGGTCTTCTTTGGAAGAAAATCTTCTTGCCATTACAAAAGAAAAATGACCCTACAATGGTTTATGATAAACATGGGTAACTCATCCAATTGGTTTTGAGATGGAACC